GAAGCAAAATGGTTTGTGAGACCAGCAATAGAGAAGCCTGAATTTGGAGACGAGTCCCATTCCTCAAAACAAAATGGATCATCGTATCCTTCTATCCAGTAGTGGGTACCCATGAGCATTTGTGCTTGAAGGATAAAGGAGAGCATCTGTAATCGCTGTAGGAAATATGCAGCATGTAGTGAAAACTAGATCCTCCAAAAGAATAGGTTAAAAAGTACAGAAAGCTTGTAGCTTTAGTAGAATCAAGTTTGCATTGGTTAGGAAAGGTGGTAAATTGTGAGAAAAAAGGATCCTTTTTTTTTTTTAAGACTTAAGATTTTCCTACCATTAAAAATAGGTGGCTGATCTATAATCTTTAAGGGAGCAAAGCACTTTAAACAAATGTTTTTAACACTGACAGCTACTGAAATAGTGACCAAGATGGAAATGTGGAGTTACCATTCTGGACAGAACAAGTCTCCAGGAGAGTGCCAAGTTTGGAAAATAGCGTTTTATGAGTCTTCACATGCAAGCTATGTCCCAAATGTCCGTTAGCGAAAAGGAAACATAGGAATGGGTAGTGTGTCTTGGATTTAATTGAAGGCTTGTCTCAATGTTGTTATTTTAAGATCTGCTGAAGACTTGATGGGACTGAGTGTATTTGGAGGGGCAGTTAGGTGGCCGCAGATACAGCCAGCACCTCGGGGAGGCAGTAACAACGAGACAGGCCTCCCACACACTTTTTCTCATTGAACTATTACATGGTTTTTGTTAATTCAGATATAAATATATATATATATATGTAGTCTCCCATTTATCCTTTTTGTGTCTTTCAGCCATGCCTAGTATTTCAGGTGGGTTACTATATTTCTGCAGTCTGAATGTGTGTCTTACTAAATGAGTAACTGGAAGAAGCTCGACAGGATTGTGTATGCATCTATAATTTGGTGTAGTTGACAAACACTCAGAAAGACATAGTGTTGTTTAAATAGATACCTCTAAGTCAAGGTGTTAATCTTCAAGTATAAACTTTATATTCAAAACAAGAATATTATTCTCAGGATTGCTTTGGTACTGTTGCTCTGTCAGTCCTAAGGTGCTGACCTACTTGCTCCTCTCCGCTGTAGGCATGCAGAGTCTACTATGGCAGGCATTCTTCTGTGTCATGTCCGAGGGTGTGAGCTAGGTTCTGTTCTTATGTGACAATGCAATATAACTTAAAAGAAAAATTTTAGAATAAAGTTTGTAAACTAATTTGAGAGGAAACTAGAGGATCTTAGGTCTCTTTGGTAATTGTTCATTGGGTGTGACCAAAATTGACTTTTTGTTTTTGCTTCCCCCCGCCCCAAATTGTCATCTTCTGAGGTTATAATTTGCTGCCTTTTTTTTTACTGCAGCAAGTCTTCATAGCTGAAAGTAAGTTAAGCTCACTGGAAAGCTGACTGCAGAATCTAGTCACTGTAAGCTACCTTTGGCACAAGAGCAGTGGTAACAGATTTCTGTTTAGCTTTTGGCTGACACATCTGACAGCCAATACGAAGTACACCGTTGAATGTAAATGGTTTTTCTACTAAGCTACGACCATCCCGTGTTGGCCCAAGAACAGAAAACAAAGGACTTGCCCTTTTATGTGTTGAGTTTGAGGCTTAACGATTGGTCTTAGTTCCCTGAAGTAGTAGTTGCTTGTTTAATCAATCTGTGGTAAGTCTGCTAGACTCGGGGAACTGCAGTGTTTTTTCAAGATGTTGAGCTATCTTTTTTTTTCAACTGAAGGTTAGGATAAACCCAGTGTTGTGAGTCAGGGTCTGCAGAGATAAAGGCTGTTGTTCTTAAAGAGCACTTCCCCTCTTTACCCAAAGCAATAAAGATCAAGTCCAGCAGCTGTTAATTAACTGCTCTGACTACTCTGTGCTGTTAGGGTACTGGAGTTTATTGATAATGACCTCAGGCCTTAACAGGGGGGGTGGTGGAACACTTTTGTTCAGGTGGATTAAAATTGCTTGCATGTAAGATTCAGTCAGCTCCTTCTCAAGACCAGCAGAAACCTGTTTATTATAGGGACTGGTATGGGATGAAGTCAGATAGTACAATCGTTTGACAACAAATGACGTTTGGGAAGTAACTAGTTAAAACAGTAACTTACTTCCCTCCAAAGTAAGAGTAATGTTCCAGAAAACCTGTAATATATTCTAGTGTTCAGTGAATTCCTATCTAATGGTCTTGCCTTCAGCAATGACTTAGTTTCATACTGAGGAGAAGAACAGTAACTCTATAAGGTGGCCTCTGATTTCTCAAGCTGTACTTTCTCTCTCTCTTTCTCTCTCTCTCTCTCTCCTATTCAGCCAAAACAGAGTGGAATATGAAAAGAGAGTCCGAGCACAAGCCAAGAAGTTTGCACCATCATAAGCGTCTGTCATGCAACATCTTAAAAAGGAAGGGATTGGTTTGGCAAGAACTTGTTTACAAAACTTTTGCAAAATCTAATGTTGCTATGTACAATTAATATCCACCTAGGGGAGGGGGTTGTATGTGTGCCATTTCCATATTCGCCACTTGTATACAGTTCTAAATTTGCTGAATTGCCCCCAGTTTTTTCATACAGGGTCTCTTCCTTCAGTCTTTTGTATTTTTGATTGTTATGTAAAACTTGCTTTTATTTTAATATTGATGTCAGTATTTCAACTGCTGTAAAATTATAAACTTTTATACTTCTATAAATTCACTAGTATCTCTAGTTACTTTGCTATCTGATGCAGGCATGCTTTAAAATGTTAGAACTATATTTAGCCTCTAGCTGGCTGTACGAAAAAAAATCATGCCCTCCACCCCCTTCCCTCCCTGGATTTGTTTTTCTATCTTTCAGAAACTAGGTTGTTACTGCTTAAGAGCCTCTGAGATCCAAAGTCAGCCAGCATCCTTACTCTGCATCACTTCCTTTGTGTTTATATGGCGTTCTGTCTGTGTTGCTGTTTAGAGTAAATAAACTGTTTATATAAAGGGCTTTGTTTCATTTATCTTCATTAAAGTGATTAAAAGACTGCCATTTACATGGCTCTGAACACCATTCAGTGCAAGTCCTGTTTTTAAGGCCTGTGATGCTGCTCTTAGCTTTTGTTTAAATATTGCCCTCTTGTCCCTGCCCCCAGCAGGAACGCGGCCTGTCTTTGGACCCTGTGTGGTACCTGCAGCCACTCCGATCAGTTCCTTAAACAGCTGATGGAATTCTGACTAGCTAGAGACCAGTGGCTTACTGGCACAATGAGATCAACATACTGGTGTGACCACACTCACATGAAATAGCACAAGCATTAGACTGACACTCATAGGAATAGAAGCTGTCCAAGGAATGCAAGGGCACCTAGAGCAACTGGGGTTTTTAAATTATACTTGTTTATCAGCAGCTCTTCTGTGCCTTCTTCCATGTCAGTGTGTATAGCTTTTAGGAAAAGGACATGCCCTGTGCAATTACAGTTTCCTTCGGTAAAGGAAATCAGTTGAATTATGTAAGTTATTTTCATGTATGTCAAGCTGATATGCCCTCTATTAAACTTTTGATTTTTTTTTACTTGTACTTTTTAGTCAAAATCATTCTGCAAAATGAAGTGTCAAGAGCTTTTTTCCATCTGAGCTGTAGCTTCTTCAGCGCTTTTAATAAAAAATGGCTACCCCTAGAGACTTCAGTTATTCTGTGATACAGCTCTTCTCAGATCTGTTCTGATTGTCTGCATTTGATTATGACAGAAGCATTCCTCCAAGTTAGAACAGCTAACACCCTTGCATTATTCAGTCCTCTGAAAATTGGGTAAATTGCTTCCTTGTTACTATCTAGAAATCCGTCTTAAAGCTGATTTGGGAAAGACTTCATATGCTTGGGGTGGGAAAGCGACTGAGAAATTGAGCTAAAGATCGCCTGTCAAATTAATTTACTTGGGTTTGTTGTGTTTTCTTTTTAAAAAAGGGAAGTGCAGTATTTGTACCACTAAAACTGCTGCTCTGATTCCTGCTTCTAACTCCAGTAGGCCTAGTATTTAATCTCTCTAGTAGAAGAGGGTTAAGAGATGAAAATCTCGCTGTGATGCGAAGAGCTTGTATAGACGAAGGTAACACTACGGATTGTCCTCGGGCTCTCCGAGTACTGGAGGGTTACTGAAATATAGGTTTTAGTAAGTTCCAACTGCCTGCTGGAAACTCAGAAGAGCATTCTATTTATATATCCAGAAAGCAGCTGCTAACAGTTGCACTTCCACTGTAGGCACATGGAAGAGGGAAGAAAGATACTAGTGCTGCTCAGAGTCTCTGACTCAAATCTTTAAGGGCCAGACAATGTGTATTTCCGAGCTGGTCAAGTGCCACTTCAACTAATGAGAATGCAGGCAGACAGCACTGCCGAGCCAGTGACCCGACATCTGCCAGCACAGTTCTGACAGTGCCAAAGCACTACATTGCTTAGGACTAGCAGATTTTTTCAGACCTTTTATTGTAGATAACATGTAGTTACTGAAGAGGCATACCAAGATGCTAAGACAATTCCAGGAAGCATTTATTTTCCTTTTAAGCTTGATTAGTCAGTTTACCCTAAACTTGATAGTTGAAGTATATATGGCAAGTTCAAGCCTGCAGAAACTCAAGAGGCTCTTATGTGGTAGGTACTCTGAACAGGGCAATAACTCAGTCATGTTTTCAAGGTGAAATATAGCCCAGAAAACAGAATGGCTGGTTTAATGTACTACTGGGTAAAAATCATCTCTATAAACCCCATTCCAGACACGTTGGTCAGGGCAGCACAAGCCTTTCTATGCATAAGCAGATGTCTGTACCCACATATTGCCTGCGGTTCACCTGAGGGAAGCCATTTGGGAAGCGCCAAGTTACCAAGCCCCACTGAACTGTTCACAAGAAAATTTTTTTATGTAAGATGTTACAATTCCAACAGGACTGTTGGGGAAGCTTCTCATGTTCTTCTGGTGTGGGGGCTTGGTTTTGTTTGTTGTTGGGGTTTCTGGTTTGTTTTTTTTTTCCTTTTACTTTTCAGGTGGTTGATTTATTGCCTGTTGTTGCGGCAACTGTAAAGTATCGTGGTCTTCTGGACTGCTCTCATTGCTGCTTTCAGTGGCATCATCTGGAGTGCTTACGCTGTCCTCAGATTCTTCACTGCTTTGTGCTTGTCTGGAAACATTTTTCAGGATTATAAAAGCAAAATAACGTTATAAGAAAGGTATTAATTAATTAAATTTCATTACCCTGGGGAATTGATTGGCCTGTTGGGATTACAAAATTCTTTTCCTGAATCAATGTCAAATGGATCTGGAAAAAGAAGGAAAAAATGCACATGGTGATTAAGAAGGCATATTTTAACGGTCTGCTTAATTTTCATTTTGAGAGAAGATTATTGTGTGCGAGGGTAAGGCACAGAAAGCCTGGTTCAGCTTTCTCTGAAGTTTACCGTAGTTACTTAGTCAGAAACTAGGGGAGGTGAGAAACAACTGCCACGTCCTGCTCCCCCTCGTTCTACTCTTTTCACTTTTTTCCATGCCCTTTGTGCCTCACCTATCCTCTGGGGTCCACAGAATCCAAATCCTTCAGGTTGCAAAAGTCCTTCAAGATCGAGTCCAACCGTTCACTAGCACTGCCACGTCCACCACTCAGCCATGTCCTGGAGCACAACATCCGCGTGTCTTTTAAATACCTCCAGGGATGGTGACTGCCCCACTTCTCTGGGCAGCCTGTTCCCGTGCTTGGCAACCCTTTCAGTGACGAAATTTGTCTTCATATCCAATCTAAACCTGCCCTGTTGCTACTTGAGGCTGTTTCCTGTTGTCACACTGCTTGTTACTTGGGAGAAGAGACCGACCCTCACCTCGCTACAACCTCCTTTCAGGTAACTCCAGAGTGTGAGAGGGTCTCCCCTTGGTCTCCTTTTCTCTGGACTAAACAACCCTGGCTCCCTCAGACGCTCCTCGCAAGACTTTCCCTCTCGTCCTTTCACCAGTACTCTAGGTGAGTCCGCACCAGTGCTGAGTACACGGGGAGAATTACATCCCTAGTGCTGCTGGGATCTTTGTAGGTGTGATTTGAAACATCTTGATGAGGGACTATATAAACATGTTCATTAAAGGTCTTTCTTAAGTTTATGTATTACTAACTTGCTGTCAGACTGTATGCCTGTATTTCCCTTATAGTCCTCCTAAATTAATCCTCTTTTTACTCATACTTGGCTTTTAACATAAAATGAGGAAACATCATATTTTTCTTTTAACTCCTTAGTTCTTCGATATCCTTAACCAGGACAGCTGCCCCACAGTTCAGCTGTGAATACACTACTATATGCGTTAAATTGCTTTAGTAATTTTCATCTTCTTGAGTTGAAATAAATAGGCAAACTTGCTTATAAGAATACACAGTAAAAAGATACAACAGCACATCTCAACAAAGCTCTTCTACCCTGCCAATGTTTTCATGAGATTAAAGGAGAAGGTAAGGAAATGAGTTAGGAAAAGGAGATGGGTGGTGTCTTGTTTTTTCTTACCTATTTCTTTATCTTCTGTTTCCTGGACACTGGCTAAAAAGTCCTTTTCAACCCTCAGCACTTCTTCCTGGCAATGACAAGCTGCATATTTTTCCAGGAGATTTTTGTTCAAATCAATAAATGCCTTACCCCATTTAAATTTTCTTAGAAGAATAGTGGCTAAGTCTGGGAATCCTAAAACAGAAAATAAATGATCAGTTTAATTTTTCAGTGGAAGATTTCACTCAGCTGACAGGTTTCTAAGTGCATACCTGTATATCGCTACAATAGTGAGATGTTTGCCAGCATTTTTTCAGTGTTCAGGGATTCAGACTTTTAAAATATTTTTGAATTTCAGTTTACCTTGAAATACCTAACTGAATCCAAGAAAAGTTCACAGTCTTTTATAGCGACCATTGTATTTTGTAGAGGTAATGAATGATTCAAGCTCTAGCTCCCGCAGTCCTTCAGTAAGTCAACTGTTATATATTAATATTCAAAATTTGTTTTTAAAAAAAGTCCAAGAGTAGTCTTGGAACAATATTTTCAGGAGATTTGTCTAGAGTATAGTAGAGCATGTCTCCTCAGTTGTCAAGAAAGCTATGTAATGAGTTTGCAAAACACCCTAAGAGGAGGGAATTTCTTTTTTTTCTTAACCAAAATCCACACTATTAACAGACAGATGTTATGTCTTATCAAGACAAGAATGCGTAAGGAGTCACGCTCTGTCTTCTCTGGCTTTAACAGTTTTTATACCATTAAATGCCATCCTGACAAAACCAGGATCATCACTTTAGTAGCTGACATGAACAGCGCACAGATACAAGTACTTGGCAAAAAGCTAGACAATCTCATTCCAAACTCAAGTGACGACCAGCAGGACAGCATTAGTTTACTCTGTTGCAGGTAATCTCTTCTGATCTACTAAGGACATAAGAACTGATGGTAACATACTTCATATCAGATGCACTACAGCCTACCAACAATGCAAAAAGCTGCAGCAAAAGCTTCCACGCAGGACAGCTTGCATGGCCGACCATAGTTTACAGGATTTGCAGCCACCAAGTAGGGCAGCAGCCGCAGATGACCTCCTCTCATTCTCTTAAACGGAGTTTCTTCTAATTTGGCCCATGAGCAATCTATGACTGCAATTCCACTCTCAGCAATGACATGCCTGAAAAAAGAAACGGGACTTCATTTGAAAAGCTAGTATAAGTGTCATTTTATACTGGCAACAAATTTGTGTACAATCCCTCCTTTTGTCAGTCAAAATCATACCTTTTACAATTATCTAAAATACAGATGCAACAAGAACGAATAATATCGCTTTTCTTCTGAACATGCATGTGGTAAAAAGGTTTATACATACATTTCAAAATGAAAAGCAAAAAATTCTAGGTTTAAAAATGCGACAGATGGGTGTGGCTAAGAGTAGCCTTCACGCTCCTAAAAAGTACACCACCACGCTACAGATTTAAGCTCTCCACTAGCTCATAAAGACTAATCTTTTCTCTGAGTAAAATACATCTTTATAAAAATTCTACAGGCACATCTGAAGAAAATTCTCAATGTCAGCACCAATAAATTTTCTACTTAATACATTGTGTTGCCTAGCTGAAGAACATGAATATGGAACTGTAAAAGATACTGTAGCTGTAGGCCCATCATCCTGAACAAATTAACCTACAAATCACAGGCTTCAGCTTCTCACCGGGATCCAGAAATGCTTTTTTCACCAGATACCACTTGTGCAAAAATATTGACCTGATCTAATAAGACGGCTCTATTCATCATTTTAGGGGGCCGGTTAGCTCAGCGGTTTGA